GTTTTTCTTTCCTTTTCCCTTTTCTTTTTCTTTTCCAGTTTTTCTTTTTTGTTCCTTTTCGCATAACACTGGTTTTGAATATAGCTACGTGTAGTAATGAGAAGTGGGTACCGTTTTTACTCGGCGGGAAAATATCAGAAACATTTGAATATGCTTTGTTTTTTCGTTGGAGTACCTTCTGGACGTTTGGAGCGACATGGTCTTCGTCATTTTTTAGGGAGTTTTTGTTTTTGGATGCATCTGACGCAGGATTCGGTAGATTCGATAGTCTACGTACTTGGCACTATTATGGTACTACGTACTTTTTTGGTACCGATATCGGCGGTAACGATTTCAAATTGTTCAAATTGGTTTTGAGCGCGGCGGCATGGGAATTTTTTTTTCGCGATGCGGTGTTTTCCAGACTAATCGTAGGATAGCTCTTTAGATGGACACAATATATAAGTAGGACGTCACTAGTCTAAACACCGACCAAAGACCCCTGATGATCCTGGTAAGGCGACCAGGTGAAACCGGTAGGGTCGATCGCCTGGCGGAACATTGTTTCGTCTTTTTGCTGCTTCCATGATTATCTTTAAGCAGTCGCGTTCGGGTTTACTTTCGTACGGCTTACTTTGTATCCTTTCCTACTGCCTTCTCTCTTCTCTCTCCCCTCCTTACTTTCTTCTTTCTTCTATCTGCTGTCCGCGTTTTGGTGTGACGATGCTGAATGGTGGTCATGTCGAATGTCCTTTTGCTTAATGCACTTTGATGCTTAATGCACTTAATGCACAGAGTGCTTCCCAGCCATCAGATGACAAATGATCTGATGGTGGCGGTTGCAAGAACAGTGAACAAAGTAACCGCCACTTTTTTTTTGGAATAAACTCTACTTCTGTCAGCAGTGATCCTGACACCCTCCATATACTCCGTGATTGAAGGAGGGCTCCACCCAATGAGATAATAATTGCACAACAGCAAGTAAAATACTGAAAATCTTCTATCCCGTGGGCCTATGGCCGACCCCACCCTCTTCGGGGTTGGCCACACCCCCAACCGATTGAAAAGATTCTGGCGGGAAGCATTCTTTGCACGCGCATGCCCAGTGTTAAGGAGCGGAGGAGGGGAACAAAGATTTCCTTACTTTTTCCATTTATATTACATGTTAAAATAAAATACTGACCGTGGGATCACTCACGAGTACTGCACGGCAGGATTTGGGTCACACTCAATTGCCACACAAACTCTTTTCTATCCGATCGCGTTGCTAGTGGGACCTCGCGCAAGGAGATTGGCAAGATAGGTCGGCAAAGCGAAGAAAACATTCAGGAGGGGTGTGAGAAAAAAAGAAGTAAGCAAGGTGGTTGGTGCTCGATGTTTAGGGAGTACTCAAGAATATGTACTAGTATGTGTAAAAAAAAAAAAAAAAAAAAAAAAAAAAGTACTTGTTTTGTGTTAATTTCACCCCTCTGTTTTTTTTTGTTTTTTTTTTTTTGGCCACCATGCATGTGCAGAGTGTGACATAACTGTGCGCATTTGCGGTGCCTGCAATGGATCTGGGAGGTGTTTTGAACGATACTATTACCGTCAACTTGAGGTAGGAAATGGTTCACCAAAAAAAAAAAAAAAAAAAAAAAAAAAAAGCTTCACCCACCTGGCATTATTGTCTTCATCAATTTTTTTTTCCCTGTTTTTTTTTTTTTTTTTTTTTTTTTTAATTATATTTGAAATGGAACGATGCTCCAACCTATTCGTGGGGAGCAACACGTGCTGGTGGCTGGTGGTTTGAGGAATAGAAAAAAACTTAAAAAGACACAGAAGCTGCCAAATGGCATTTCAACTAACAAATTGAATATGTTTTGGCAGGCCTGGCTTATTTCACAGTATGGGCCACACTCTGCTGCACAACATTCTAAATGTATCTGGAGCTGGTCATGGTCCAAGTACATTCAAAATGCCGGATCATTCCCAATGTATGTGGTCTAATTCCTGTCCAGATACATGCAGAATGGTGTGTAATATAGTGAGGCCGTATATACAGCCCGTACATGGGAAGCCCAGAGCACTTGAAATCTGTGCACAGACTCAGACTCAGGGATACCTTTTGGATTTGTGTGTGTGTGTGTGTGTGTGTGTGTGTGTGTGTGTGTGTGTGTGTGTGTTCGAGCTACACTATATCAGATTCTTCTCTCCCATTATTTTTAATGTCTCTCTCACAACGTGCCTACCAGTAGTCCGAAGGCTATATAGAGAGGAACCCTGCAAGAAAGAACTTTTTAATCGCTTGTGTTTTTTTTGTGAAAATTCGCCGGCCTTTGTTTGTTTTTAGTTTTATAGAGCCTTGGAAATATTTTTTTGTTTTTTGTTTTGGAGTAAGTAAGGTTTTTTTCTGTGCCAACTTGCCAAACATTTTCCAAGAATTGTCGACTTTTTTTTTTTTTTTNTTTTTTTGATACGCGCATTTTATTTATCTCAGGTTTTTTCTCATACCTACCTCACAAGGAAGGGATTGCATGTTGCCCCTCGCCCCAACAGCAGTAGTCAGAGATGGGTGGGGCTGCCGGTGGGGGTGGGGGTCCGGCTAACGCGCAGAGTCAAAGACCGAGAATTTGGATTCTTTTCTAGAGGGCATAGTACTCACACTAGGCCCTTAAGATTCTGAAATTGCAACGTCAGCGGCGCGATAGAGTCCTTAGCTAGTAAAGGGAGGACTCGATCTGGGCGCGGATTTTGCTAGTTCTGGATTTTGAGGTCCTAGTATTTGGATTGTTTTCTAGTGATTTCCGGCCGTAAATATGGTCCAATCCATCAGGGGGTGTCCAGAACGCAGTCGGATACAATTCATCTCTCTGAAAGTCCCCGTGTGAGTGTGCCCTCTGAGAGCCGCATCTAGACACTCGGAGCACTTTCCCCCCCCCCCCCGAAAAAGGACTCACAGCACTTTCCAAATGCATAAGTGTTTGTGAGGAATTCCCGGCCTCTATGTTTTATAATAATGGATTCCTCGCTTTTTCCAAAAAAAAAAAAAAAAAAAAAAAATGCATAAGAAAGAGCGGAGCCTTCTCATAGTCTACTCACACTAGGCGCTCAAAATCCAAAACTAGCAAAATAGGTAGCAGCCGGATAGAGTGCTCCTTGTACCAGGACTCCATAGGGCCGCTGATTTTGCAATTTCAGAATTTTAAGGGCCTTGGGTGGTGAGTATGCCCTCAGCAAAGCCAAAAAAATGTCTTTTAACTTTTAAGGACATTGGGCATGGACCACCCTAGACGTGGATAATAAAGAATGGCTTTTTATGTCAATCTATGTTCTGTCAGAACATTCTGAGAAACTGCACTTCCTCTCACATATAGGCTCAACAATCCCAGATGCAGACTTCGTTGTCATAGGCGGGGACTGGAACACAGTCCCCAACCCGGACATGGACTCTACCACACCGCTTTCCCACCCGCGTGAATCCACCACCCTTAAACCACCAGTACTTCCTAAACTCGTGCCCGTTAACGCTACGCGGTTTTAGCAAACGTACGGGCCACTACAGGAGCGCCCAAATTCATCCAACTAGAAATGTTTCTACTCTATTTTTTCCCGCGGCCGATAGCTGGGCCAAGTACTTGTGGTTTAATGATCTCATGATAGACTCCAGCCTTTTTTATCCGTTCCGCTCGATGGACCCAGACACACACGTCTACACATGGACGGCATCCTCTCGTACGGAAGCAGGGATTTGTACCAAAAGACGCCTGGACTTCTTCTTGACAAACGAGGCTGCCGCAGTGCTACAATCAGCCAACAAAACAGAATGTATCACAGAATCACACAGATCCCCTATCAGACCACATGCCAATCCTCATAGAAATCAATCAAGGAGCTCAGACTTCTTCTTGACAAACGAGGAAAAGGACTCTTCAGACTAAGCCTACACATTCTAGAGGACCCCGGTGTTGTGGACTGGGTATGGAAAACTTGGGAGGAATGGAGGACTAACACGGTGAACTTTGATAAAGAAGGGGAATGGCTGGATAAGGGCCTCACACTCATATCAAACCAACTCAACTTAATCTCAAGGGTAAAGGCTGTTAATCGTAAATACCAAGAAATACAGATCCAATCTAGGCTACCAGCCGGGCCGCCCGGGTCCCGGGTAGCCAGCCCGTGCAAGGTCCCAGCAAAAAAAAAAAAAAAAAAAAAATCTAAAAATTCTGAAAAAAAAAACTATGTTATGGAGAAAAATAAACTGAACAACTTTTGCCTCAGGGTCACATCGAAATTCTTCACCAAATGTAAAATAAAAAATAAAATTCAAAAATATTTTATTCATTTTTTTTTTTTTTTAATTATTTTGGCCCGGCCGGGCAAGTGACCCCGGGCCACTCTGGTAGCCTAGGATCCAATGGAAAATAAACACACTGGAGTGTAAAACCACAGACTGTTTCTTCTCTGAAATAGTCAATCACCGGAGAAGGAACAGGCGGTTCCAGGAATGGCAGAATCTACAGATAAAAAATCATAACCTTTGGATCAAATATAGACAAATTGACAAAATTCTCCATACTGACAGACTCACCAACAAAAGCACAGATGCGGTCCGTCAACTAAACGGTACCCCCCTCCTCTCTCTTCTAGCCCACCCTGCAGACCCCACTCGGCCCCTAACCAGGGACGCGGACAAACTTTGCGAATATGCCAAATTATTCTACGAACAACTCCTCACATCTGAAAAACCACCCAACAGTCCGATCATACCACCACACGTAGAGAACATGCTTTGGGGTTCCACTCGGCCTATTCTCTCGGACTTGGAGTCATCCTCATTGGAAAACCAGATTACAATGCCTGAACTCGCCGCAGCAATAAACAGCATGGCAAAGGGTAAGCGCCCAGGCCCGGATGGATTGCCAGTGGAGTTCTATCTCCGATTCTGGCCCCTTATTGCCCCGGACCTACTCAGAGTTTTCAACGGTATCCTAGCAAACCAAGCCCTTGGCCCCCGCACAGCAGAAGGCATTATCACTCTACTATACAAAAAAGGAGATAAAACGGATGTGAGGAATTACCGCCCCATATCACATGGAAAACTTTTGGCTAAAACATTGGTCCGCAGAATTAAGCCCCTACTTACCAAACTGGTCCATCCGGATGAATCAGGCTTTATCCCTGGTAGGCAGGTTTTAGACAACGTCATGTCCATTTCCCAATCATCGATTGGATCAATACACATAAACTTAACAAGGCCGTGATCCTCATTGACTTTCAAAAGGCATATGACCGCGTCAACTGGGATTTTGTACAAGGTGCTCTGGAGAAGGTTGGGGTGGGTCCCAACTTCGGGAAATTTGTAAGGTCCCTCTACGGGGCCTCAACGGGAAGAGTACTAGTTAATGGACATCCCTCCACCTCATTCAAAGTCACCCGCTCATTGCGTCAGGACTGCCCCCTAGCCCCGTCCCTATTTGTTATCCAATTAGAAATATTACTTAATTACATGGTACGTACGACGTAACCACCCTGACTACGAGGGACTGCAAGTTTCCCCAACTCATTCTATCTATCAATGTATCAGCACTAGCAGACGACTTCTCTGCGATCTCGGAAAATTCTGTCTCCTCACTAACTGCACGTGAAGAATGCCAGACAGTTTATGAGACAGCATCAGAAATGAGAGTCAGCTGGCAAAAATCAGTTGCTTTCACTCCTGATGGCCAACCACTAGCATTGGATTTGGGCATTCCAGTTAAACAGAGAACAGAAGTGGAGCGGTACCTGGGCATCCAAATCTCCTTAGGAAACCCATCACAGGCACAGTCATCTATAATAGAAAATAATATTCGGGACGCTTGCGCCAAATGGTCCAAGACCTGCTTTCTCTCTCTATTCGGCAGAGCAATGGTAATCAACACTTTTATTTCTTCTAAATTATGGTACATGCTATCACTCAGAATCCTCTCCGCAAACTCAGCGGATAACATCCGGCGACTTTTAACCCGTTTACTCTGGAAGGGAGACTCCAAAGTGAAATCTGCTCTGAGCAAAGTCAGTTGGGCCAAAATAACAGAAAAAGGTAAGACAGGAGGACTGGGAATACTAGACCCCAGCAAACAAAACCGCACTCTAGACTAAGTAGCCAAATGGCCAATCAGAGCACTGACTGCTCAGGAAAGACAACCTTGGATGATACTCTTTCAGCATCAATTGGCAATTAATGAGACGAGTGACAACTAGCAGACCCGGAAGCAGTATGGCATGCTATTCTCATGCGCCCCTTCACCTCTAAACCCTCGGGTAACACATGGAGTAACATCTTGAAGGAGTGGGGGATAATTATCCCACAACCTCTGCACGACCCCATATCTAAGCATGACATTCTCAACACTTGTCTATTCGAAAACCCATCCATCAGAGGCTCGTCCGAGTCCGAACTTCCGTTCTCAGTCTCCAAGGCAGCAGGGAACTTTGGTCTGTCCTGGATGCAACGTGGCATATGGCTCATCAGTCACATTTGGAATGAGGAGGAAAGCAATTGGAAATCAGCAGACCAACTGAAACCTACTCTGTGGGGACTACATAATACTCGAGAGCATCTCACAGCTATGATCA